GACTAAAAAAAAAAAAAAAAAAAAAGAGCCATAAATGAGTGGTATCTAATAGTAAGTCTAAATCTGCATTCTGCTTTTTTTTTTTTTTAATTCCTGTTCTGTTGTAGCTCTTATCAGATACACACACCGAACCCAACAGTAAAACAGCACAACTGGGTCAGACATGTGCTGGCATCTGAATGTTTCTGAGCAACTGGAGCATATGTTGGGCATCATCAACACAAATGTGTGTGTGTGTCTGCGCCCAAGTGCTCCCCAATCCCCCCGGGCCCCTTGGACTCATGTTCCAGTTAATTACTCCCTATTAAAAGCTAATTAGTGTTGATGCACACGGGCAGCCTGTGCTCATCAAGAACAAACACAGCAAAAAATAATTTAGTTAATTTGTACTTTTGACTTGTTTTTCAGTAAAAAAAAAGTATTAAATATACAGGTGCATCTCAATAAATTATATAAAATATATGTGTACATTATGTATGTATATATGTGTATATTTAGGATATTTGTACATTTTGTGTGTAAATAAATAAAAAAACCTAAACTAATTCTTGAAACTAAATAAAATTTAAATAACTCTTCTGAAAACCATATCACAAAAAGTTTTTCTATTAGATCAACATATGTTATTATATATGTTGTTTCAAGGACTTTTAGACCTTTTCGAAAAAATGTAGGAAAACACTGATTTTTGCAGTACTGTGAGTTTTCAGATGAATGAGCCAAAGATATGACCTCATGCTCCATTCGTAGCAATGACATAATCCAGAACAATTCTATCCAATCATCTTTCATTGCGCCTTCACATGCAGTGCTTATTCATTAAGCCAAATTACATTTCCATACTTATTTATTCTCCTTATTACTCTCGATGGCAGCTCACCTCCCACTTTTAATTATCACATTAATAATACAGACATGAGCTCCATTAGAAGGAGGAGATCAGAAGACATGGGCAGCGTGAGTACGGTTTAGTCTGTTCTTGTGGCTCATTTGATCTGAAGCTGATTTAAAGATTTATATAAAGATGTTCATGCTGTAGGAAAGACCTGAAAGCATGACATTAATATGTAAGTGTCACACAATATAGCTTCTATCTGATTCTAGTTGACATTTCTCATAACTAGAGATGTACTCTGCATGAATGATGCCATACAGATGATTATAAGTCATTTTTGTGGGAGACTTTAAATGCACAACAGAAATGCACTACTGTTCAAAAAGTTGGGTGCCAGTAAGATTTTAATGCTTTTAAAAGAGGTCTCTTATGCTCAGTAAGGCTGCATTTATTTGATCAAAATCTACAGTCAAAAACAGCAATACTGTGAAAGATTATTACAATTTAAAATAACTGTTTTCTATTTGAATATATTTTAAAATGTAATTTATTACTGTGACACAAAGCCAAATTTTCAGCAGCCATTACTCCAGTCATCAGTGTCACATGATCATTCAGAAATCATTTGTGACCCTGGACCACAAAACCAGTCATAAGGGTCAATTTTTCGAAATTTTGCATTAATGTTGAGCGAACTGTCATATTACATAAAATTATTCAAAGCAGACAGAATGCTATTGGCTTTTTCTGCATATTATAATGTGCAAAAATTGACTTCATTTTATCCGCCACTATATGACTTCGACATTATGATTCCTAAAAAAATGAAAAGAACCCACCACAGGCATTATGGTACAGCGGGAGCACAGGCTACCCAACTGTTACTACAGGAAATGACTACACACCCCGTGGATGTACAGTCTGGACCAGCTACTCATGCTGAACCTGCTCAGACTCACGGTCCTACTGCGCACCCCTCAGAGATCCAACATGCCCCACTGCCCAAACCCGCTGGAGACCGTAAGAATCAATCACGAGTATCTTCAGCATCATGAGCTGACTGAAGAGCAGCTGAAGGAGAGGGATCTTATTGAGCGTGAGGAGAAGTATTCTGGGATTCAGAGGAAGGTTTACAAAACATACTAAATATCTGCCAATCTTGACCTAAAGTTAAAGACTTCTCAAAGCTATTAAACATTAAACAAGCCTGTCTGACACAACTTCCCTTCAAACGTAAAGATGAAGAGGTGAGGTAGATTAGGCAATAACAGCGATTCCTAACCACTTGGAGTACTAGGTCGCTTTAAACTTATAAAAATGACGACTTTTAATAATATTATTAGGATTGTCAAAACATTGTTTAGCAGTTAATTAACAGCTTCACACATCCTGCTACTTTTTACGGAAAGAACATGCATATGTTTAGTCAATTTGTGTGGATCACGCTTACTGTGCAACATACTGTAAGTGCATGTGTAAAAACTGCGGAAGATTTCTATGACACTGCTGTTTAATCACACTCACATACCTCAATATAACACTTTATCTTATTTTCATCCATAAAATGTCTCAGTCAATCAAGCTAATATAAAACTAAATGCATTTCCAAATTCTGTATTTCTCAAATTACTCATATGGCGAGTCTGATTTTCACCCCCAGAATCGATTGACAGTGAATTATTGCATTCATGACATTTTAATAATATTACTTGTAATGCCAAATGATATCTAGTATAATATGAGGAGAATGATTCTGGTTTGGAGTCGATGAGGGGCTACTTGAGTCAGACTGAAGGGCCTGTGGGAGTACATAAGACGAAAACAGTTAAGTAACACTGACTAAAATTAAGAAGGCCGATATTCAGGATGTTAAATTGATTCTCTAGTGTAGAAGGCAGAAATCTGTGCCAGAGTTTTGGTGACTTGATCCTTGACATTGAGGGCTCCACTGCACTGCCTCCAGCACAGGAGAAAACCTAATTTCTAGTAAACACCAGAGATGCTAGGAATGAACTTTACTGTCAAATCATCTTTTGCAGTAATTGTTTTAAATCTGACCTGAAGTAACATTTCGGCACAGTTTCGGCTGTTTGTATTACTTTTGCAAGAAAGAATGAGCAGGAATGTAGTTGTAGTTGTAGTTGTAAGTTTATTTGACTGTGGCATTTAATTAATTTTCTTTATGCTTTGACATTTTTGAGTTGACCATTTAATCTGTCAGGGCCACATTACCAGTGACATTCTTTGACACAATCAAGATGGCTTCCTTCCCAACACAGAATGTGAAGGATTGCTTCGTCTTCAATACGCTGCATAAAATGAGTCTGAACGCATTCCAGAATTAATTATGATATTTCTATAGAAGCCAAGGAATGACATTGAGATTTGTCTGACATTTCTGGCATGGCATCGTTATTCTAGTTGTCTCTTCCCCTATCTCTCTCTTGGGTCCTAATTAACTTCTGAGGGCCTGAGAGGCCTCTGACACAGCTGTCTGTCCCCTAAGGCCAACTGTTCACCACTGTTGTGACCAGGCCATTTCACCCCCATTTACTCCTCAACTGCACATTCTGAAGAGCAAACAGCTGCAGCTAATAGTGCATAATGCTGTAATGTTGACACATGCACTCACAGACGCACACCTTCAACAATTACAAAATGGATACACTTAACAGACAAGGCAAGAATGGATATTAGGGGGATATGAATTAAAAACTCTAATTACCATCACTCAGATGCTCACCATACTCAGCTATACCTGACAAATGAAAAACACTTACAAAACACACATATGAGATCCATAAATAGTTACATTTGTATTGCTAAATCTCAGCTGATTTAGTTTTAGCTCATTAGATATATGCTATGGTGTCTTGGAAGTGTGGCTGATACCCTTTTCCTTATTAAGTACCTTCATGCATAAATCACTGCCTGTTTAGTGACTGACTGACTGGATTTAAAAAAATTTTTTTTTTTTCATTTAACAAGACATTAAGTGATGGACTGGAGTAAGTGAATTATTGTGATGTTTTTATCAGCTGTTTGGACTCTCCTTCTGACGGCACCCATTCACTGCAGAGGATCCATTGGTGAGCAAGTGACGTAATGCTAAATTTCTCCAAATCTGTTCTGACAAAGAAACAGAAACTCATTTACATCTTGGATGGCCTGAAGACTTTTCTTTTATTATTATTTTCAATTTTAGTTTTTAATTAAATTTGGCCCATGGCATCAATTCTCAATTAAGCAAGTGCATTTAAGTTCTAATGCAAGATCACAAGATTTTAAACTGTTTTTGCAATAATTATTTAGCAGTTCCAAACAAAGCAGAACAACTGCATCTCAAAGGTGTTTTGTTTTTTATTGATTCAGTGTTTCTGAATGAATAGTCAATGATTCACTGACCACTTTTTAAAAACAGGGGTCACTTGCTTCATTCGTGAATGAATCAGCTGGTTTGAATGAATCATTAAATGAATGATTCTATGATTCATTTATTGACACTTGCCACACTTGAGTACATTTTCAGCAAATTTTCATTTTTGGGTGAACTATTCCTTTAATAGTGCTGCGTTATTATGTGCAATTCTAAGAAATTCTATTTAAAAATTCAACAGTTCATTTCTTTACTAGGCTATTTTCAAGCTATGAAAGATGTGTGAACATCTACATTTTCTTGAAACAATCCTTAAAAAAAGACAATTCTGCAAAAACATCGGAATAGTCAACTCATTTTGATTCTTTAATATGGTGCATTTCAGAGGGGGAAAAAAAGATATTCAAAGAGAAGCAGGAATCAATTTGAATGTGAATAGTGGCTGTTTCATACTAGAATGAAGCCAGACTAAATGAGAGTTTGTTCAAACAACAGCTAAATAGCTATTTGGCTATTGGTTAACATAACATTATCCAATAGACAAATAACAAAAAAGGAAAGTAGTTTCAGAGAAAGTTATTACTTTTGATTACAGATTAGGATTTCTTTGAAATAATGTGCATCGATGAATCATTCCCAATAAGAACAGGAACAAGCATTAAGACAGTAAATAGAATCCATTTTGATTTCATGCTGACTTTAATGATCACTTCAGTTTTGAGCTGATATATACAAGTCATTAGGATGAGATACTGCAGCTCTTAAAGCTTTTCTGTTTGGGCCAGGGATGCACTGATTTATTGTCATTTGCCAACCTTAACTTGATTTGGACTGTGAGAGAGTGAAAGAGTTATGGGACAGAAGCATGTGGGACACGGCGCATTGAAATATGACAATTTTTAAATTGGGTTCCATAGGGCGCATGGAGAGCCAGGCACAGGCAGTCACAGAACGAATGTTGAAAAAGAGCAATTAGCAAGGCACAGGGAATCCACCACACCACTCGACATCAGTTACCCCACAAAGACCACATCACAATTCACACCCTGTTGCCTGTCATATGGAACTGGAGTCGGCCAAACTCATTAGATACACGCACACAAAATCATCCGCTCAGCTACCAGCCACTTACGCTGTCTCCGTTTTATTCAGAAAGCTTTTTAGACTTCAAGATTTGTGACAAGCTCTGGGGCAATATGTCTCTTCAGGGCCATTTTGAGATTGTAGTAATATTGGAAAGCATTTACGAGGCTTATTCTATTGTAATATATGCTACTTTTACCCACTTAGCAAAAGCTGTCAGAATAAAAACACTAATAGAGAAAGTGTGTGGGTCGTAGAGAGATAAAAGCCTCTTCCATTCTGAAATAACGTATATTATACAACATTTTAAGGAGTTCTGGATGCTGATTGGTCAATATAGCATTCCAGCCATCCTAAAATACACAAAATAATCCTTAGTGAGGCGAGACACCATATTTAATCTGACACAAATTAAAACAAGGCTGCAAAGGAATAGTTGTACAGACCATTCAATAAGCTGTACTGTTGGTCCCTTGATGCCAGTCTTTCAGCTGATGAAACAATGAAAAAATGTTTCCAGTAGAAAAAAATTTTTTGGGAAAACATGGGCTGTGAAAATTAAACGTGACCTATAAGACAGTACAACTTATTTATCAAGCTATACTTGCTCCCTTGTGCACTCATTTTTATTCGTATCAAATTAAACATGCTGTCTACTCTGGCAAGGGTCCATAGTAACCGCAATAATGCGAAACACTTGTTCTGCTGCACAGCACCAATAGAGAACAACTATTAATCTTAGTTTACATGTCAGAGACTATATCTGCAAGTAGAATGATGCCACTTAATGAATTTACTTAACGTTTTAATGAACATTTATGTCCTTGTTATACACTAAAAGACACTATATTGTGAATATAGAGAGTCTAAAATAGAAGAACACAGTATTAGTATGTAGTTACACGGTCATCAGATTGAAGTACTCACTTGTCTGTCATCTCCTGTCCGTTCCAGCAGAGGGAGCGGTTGAGTGCCGTCGGCTCTTTGCTGCACAAAGCTTCTCCCAGGCCACTGTAGAACTGACTGAAGCCCCTCAGACCCGAGATAAACTCCCTGCAGCAGTCAGAAAGGAAATTGAGAAAGTAAGAGAGCACAGAAAGAAGAAAGAGAGAGAGAGAGAAAGAAAAAGTCAAGTGGACTCAAAGAAAAAAAAAATTAATTAGATGGTATGCACAAAGAGGCAAGATTAAAAAGAATCCATGGCACAATGATACAGGGATTTATGGGAAAATTGAGGGGCATGGAGAAAGAAGAGTGAAGAATCAGAAATGGGCTTGGGGTCAAACGCAGTGTGAAACGTGATCTACTCCATTACGTGTCGTTTCCTGTCAGGCTAAGTTGATTCGAGACGCTTTGACTGTTAATTGACATTATGCTGGAAAAGAAACAGCCCACTCTCATCTGTTCATCAGCGCAAGGGAGAGTGGAACTGCACAGGACAGAGGGGGCAGAAGGCAGCGCAATGTCACTCACACAGCAGGAGACAAAGTCTGTGTTAATGAGCATCTCTCTGTCACCATCAGCCTGAACACACACACACACACACACACACACACCGCAACTAACAGCACAAACACACACTGCATTTCTCAACTCATTTACATACCTCTACCCAGAATGACCTAGTCAGACATGTGCCAGATTTTTTAATATACTTGTAATCTAATAATAATATACAATAATAGAATAATATTCTATATTAATTAATGTATTTATGCATTCTATATCATTATATTACATAATGTACCCTATACCATTCAAAAGGTTGAGTCAGTTTAATTTTATTTATTCTTTTAATTTATACTCTTATTCAGCAATGATGAATTAAATTGATTTTAAAAAGTGACAGTAAAACAGTAAAGATTTTTATTTCAAATAAATGTAGTTATTTTGAACTTTCTATTCATCAAAGAACTTTTTCTAGCAGCACAACTGTTTTCAACATTGATAATAATAAGAAATGGTTCTTGAGCATCAAATCAGCATATTAGAATGATTTCTGAAGGATCATGTGACACTGAAGACTGGAGAAATGATGCTGAAAATTCAGCTTTGCCATCACAGAAATGAATTACTTTTTAAAATGTATTCAAACAGAAAAAAGTTATTTTCAATTGTAATAATATTTCACAATATTTTTGATTTTACTCTATTTTAATGCAGCCTTAGTGAGGATAAGAGACTTTTTTCAAAGACACTGATCTCAAACATTTGAATGGTAGTGCATATGATAGAAATATAATTTATTTTTAGATTTAGAAATGTGTATATATCACATACATACATACATATTAATAAATATTATGCATTATACATAAATCAAATCATAAGTTGAACTCAAACATATCTTACACTCAAGTAAAGGTTTGATAATGAAAGAAGTAGAAGAAAAGTACAGAAATAGAAAAAAAGGTGCATGTTGCCCTTGCACACAGCATCTCTCAAATACTCAAAAGCACAGAATCGACTGTTTGATTTGATTGTAAGACGCCTAAAAAGGTCAATGAGGATCTATACAGAGAAAAACATGAAGGAAGAGAGAGAGAGAGTGTGAGTGCTGAAGTGGAGAGTCTATTACAGCATCTCAATGCAATCCACACAAACAGCATCAGAAGATGTGAGCTGTATTAAGAGATGCATGAGAACGACATTATGCTTGACTGCAATTCCTATTTCTCAAATTTATAATACACACATTATATTTTCACTGAATTGACTTACTGTCAATTCTATAGCAGCAATGCTTTGCAGTCCTCTTGGAGTGTTTAGAGCACTTTAAGACTCTCAAGAGATTCAAATAAAACAGGAATGTGTGTATTTTCAGCTGCTGATTGCCATTTTTAAGAGCTGAGGGTAAAGAGCAGTCAGGTCATCCTCATGCTTCATTACGACTGAATAACAAGGTCAGCCATTAGAATCAGTGAGGCAGTTGAGCTCCAAAAGCACCACAAGTATCATAAACGTGTCCATTTATTTAAAATCAACTTTAAAAGTCTCTAAAAAAGAGACTGAAATTTAAGTCATTGTGTTCAGCATGTCAAATATGGTATTGCACAAGGTCTGAAATCTGAATATTTGGAAGTGCAAACAGGCACGTGCACCGATAGACCCAAGCAGTGCCTGCATTTAAGTTCTGGTTACGCAAGATCACAAGATTTTTAACTGTTTTTGAAAAAACTATTTTGCCAACAAAAATAGTTCCAAACAAAGCAGAACAACTGCATCTTACAGCAAGGAACAGTGGAATTTCATTTTTTAATGATTCAGTGTTTTTGAATGAATCAGGTAAGTCAGTTATTCAATGACCAATTCTTAAATACAGGGGTCACTGAATCATCTGGTTTGAATTAATCATTCTATGATTCACTTATTGCGACTTGCCACCACCTACTGGTGATTTCAGTTTTTCACATATATATATACTGTACAGCAGTGTTAATTTCGTTGACGAATCATTTTCGTCATAATTGTCGTCAATAAAAAAAATTTCACCGACGAACGAACTAAAACTCTTTTTGAATGACAAAAACTATGACGTAAATCTATTGACATTTTCGTCAACGAATAAAAACGAGACGAAAATGTTGGGGAGGGACGATTTGGGAAGAGATTCATTCAGAACGAATCTGCTGCGTGGTTCGGAGGTTATATGAACCGGCGGGATATAAGCTAAAATACACTTGCTGCACGTCGCATAAAACGTTCAAAAAGAGAAGAGCAGACATATGGATAAATCTGACGATGCAAGAGAACTCAATTCGGTCCGGTTTTCTGAGCGCAGACAGAAATGATGTCGAATTGTCCGTTTTGACAAGCATTCACGTAAACACAGTTGATTATGTCTTAAGTGAACGTAAACAGTAGGGAGAATGTGTATCAGTACATTGCATCCATTGCAGCTGTGCATTCGTTTTTAAAGGGATAGCAGCCTAATTTAGTTGCTATTGTCCGAGTCATTGATGATTAACAATCATTTCTGTCAAGTAACAAAAGAAAGACAGAAAATCACGCACTGCTCTTGACTGAAAATGTCACCGCAGTTAAATCAGTGTCTATCATGATAAAACCTTAATATCAAATCTTATGATAGTTAGTCGACTAAAACTAGACTAAAACTAAAAACAATTCAGATGACTAAAATATGACTAAAACTAAATGGCATTTTAGTCAAAAGACTATGACTAAAACTAAATCAAAATTTGCTGTCAAAATTAACACTGCTGTACAGTATATATAAATATAGATGAATACAGATGAATCGTTCACAATGAGATGCAATTAGAAAATAGATATGATGAATTTCCATTTCATGTTGACTTTACGTAATTCTCGAACTTGAACTGTTACTGTATGAAAAACATAGTTTTCATGTTACTATCTGCTTTTTTTTTTTTTCTTCTTCTTCATATACAAACGTTTTTGAAAACTGAAGCATGTCATTACCTGCGCCGTCCAAAGAGGGTCTCACCGGGGTCAAAGTTCACCGTAGGACGACTGTGGGCCACCAGCGAGGCAGCCGCGTGTTCTGCTGACATCGGCGCAGCACGAGATACCCGCGAGGGTGCGTGTGCACATATCCCGCTCACCTGTGAACAGGAGAAGATTGGAAGGCTAAATGTGATCCCTCTTGGAAGACGTCCAGCTGAGAAAGCAATTAATGAGACAAACTGTCCCTGCAAAACTTCCTCCCCATTCAGCTAATTGTCTTGCTGATGGTGCTGCATTTGCCTCCTGTTTGTTTTGGTTTGATGACAATACGATTTACATAACAAAACGAGGCATTGTTGGGTCTGTCAGACACTTTGGCTGTGCCTTTCAATAATCATAACCCTTTGCAAACGTAGTGAAAGTAAACAAGCCCTCTCATTCCCTTTCTCGTGAATGCTAAACGCTATTGTTTTTATACGGGACAACATAATAATAGTAATACACCGCTCCCACACTGGCTGTGTGAGATAATGGAGTCTTGCCATTCTTTCAGGTGCAATAAAAATGCAAATGCCTCTTAATGTGTAGCTTGTGGTTTAATGATTTGCCGCTGGTTTAATTTCCCATGGGGGCTGGTCCAGGGCGTAATTTTGCCATGTAATGCTTGTGGCATATTGTGCATGCTTGTTCATGAATGAATATGTGGGTAAACAGGCTCTGGAATTCTGATGGGATTCGAGACAGGAAATCAATAGTACAAGGACACCTTCATGCGGGCTGCAAGATCGGTTGATGTGGATAAACATAACAAGAAGATAAACTTTTTAACATGTTCTGAAACATCCGTGGGTGTGGTGATCGGATTCACCCTACAGTCATTCATATAATTTGCACACACACCAACAACCTGCTGTTGAGCTAAACGACATGATTATCAGAGTAGATCAATAGAAGCTCTTTCTAGCAAACAGCCCAGGGGAGAGTAAATAGATACTGTTGATGTGCATGAATGTGTGTGTTTGTTTGTGTGTGTGTGTGTGTGTGTGTGTGTGTGTGTGTGTGAAAGAGATTAAGAGAGAAAGCAAAACACAGAACAAGACAAAGACAAAAAAGGTATGGTGGAAGATCGGATCAGAGCACGTTGACACAAATGCAATCCTGACACAACATATTCCAGCACTGCAGCACTTTCTACCATTGCTTTTCATTATTTTTTCTGTGGTTCCTCAGGTCATATGATATCTCACTCAAACCCAAGCTACTCAAAAGGTATCTAAGTTACAAACTACTTTATACAAAAACAGCAAAGCTACGTTGAAAGCTACTTATTTAAAAAAATATATATATATTTTATTTAAAAACTTCTTTATAAAAATACTGAAAGTAATTCAATAAACATGAACATAATTTGATGAGTTACTTTTTATATATTTTTTTCCACAAGCCAAAATAGTTACACTATAAAGCCATAGCAGATCATGTATGAATCAGCGTTTTTACAAAATGATTAAATGGATGATTCAATGACTCGCTTTTAAATACATTCACTTGCGTCATTGCTGAATGAATCAGTGGCTACGTTTACATGCACAATTTTTGGTTCAATCGGACTGAATTCATTCCGATTGATGAATCTGAATGTAGTGTTTACATGAACACTAAATAAAGTGATTGGGTTGATGTGCGCGTTTATATGTCACAAGCTTCAAATCGGAATAAATTTTTTTGACATGCGCCCACTGCACAAATATTTCTCACTGTTTGCACATAATAACCACTCTCCTACACGGCTTCTTTATTTGTTTTTAACAGCAGAATTAATATTTATTAATTTATGAATAAATATATATTTAAACCGCTGTGCCATGCTGCTCATATTTATCACGCAGTAAAAATGCCCCTCCCCGAGCCCAAAACGGGTTGCCTGTGAATGAGAATCCAAAACAAGGACTGGTGGGAGGTTGTCCATCCGATTACAAATGGATCATTTGGTTGCATGTAAACGTAGTCACTGTTTTTTACCAAATCGTTTAAATGAATGATTAATTGACTCACTCATGAAGAGTCACTTGCTGCCACCTGCTGGAGTAATTATGAAAATTAAAGATTTTTTGAAACAGGCAAGCAGAGTTATAAAAATATTTAAAAGTCAGAGTGCTGATATAAGCTATAACAAGCACATCAATCATAATGCACAATGTTCCTTCCTTAAGTCCCTTAGGGTTAGGGTTAGTATAGAGCGGGTTTGTGTATGTGAGACAGTGTGGGACAGGAGTATAGAGCGGGTTTGTGTATGTGAGACAGTGTGATTGTTTCTCTCATTAGAGGGGTATTAATATCAGGCAGGCGACAGAGGATGTGCTGGCTAACAGTAACACTGAGATAAGCGGCGTCTCACAGAGAGGCTCTTTAAATATCCAGTGCCTTTTATCTGTACCTCACACACCCCTGAGAGGAGCATTAGGACCAGACACACACACACACACACACACACACACTTAATAATAAAAAACAAAAACACTCTCACATACACTTCATGACATCAGTGTGCAATGTTTAATACAGACATACATCCTCAGCTGAAACAATGGCTTATCAGCACAGCTGAAAATACAAAACAAATCACATGTGAAGGTTAAATGATAAACGGGGCCCCAAGTAGAAGACAATGCTGGGATTTTTGCTGGGAGTCTAAAGCAATAAGCCATTCAAGACCACATGATGCAGTGACTCTACATTGGTTAAGGTGTTTGGTTCTCAGCCAGGAGGCCGGGGCCCACTAAATAGTTTTTACTGAAGAACATATAGTTGTAATATTGTGTTGGACAATGGGGCACTTTGAGTCAAAAAGGTTAAGAGGGGTGCCGAAAAACCCACATATGTTAAAACAACTGTAATGTATCACCAATGTTTAATACTAATAATAATCATAGCCAGATGTTTACATTTTATGAAGAAAATGGGAGTGGAGTAAAAGTTACTAGCACTAATTTGCTGATTAAAAGGCTGCCAAATTCAACTGATGAGCAGCAACAGGTGTGTGTGTGGGCTATTTTACAATGGTTTTGAATACAGCTCATCTCATCAGATGTCAGGAGTAAGATCCATAAGCAGAGATTTAGCTAGGGATAAAAGATTTAGCTTTGGGTGTCTATAAAACAGAAATCGTTTTGACAGAGCATTTGATGCACAGTAGTGTGTAAGCTGCATTTAGAGGGCGTAGGAAGAGCCATGCCAGATTGAAATCAAGAAATAATACAGCGATTTCCTGGACCTGTCTTTTACATTTGAAAGTGGTTTAGAGCAGTGAATCTCAACCTTTTGGCGTACCGGAACCCAGTCCAATTCAGAACCATCCTCAAGGACCCCCAGAACAAAATTGACTCATCTATGTATCATTTGTGTCTTTGTGAGGACCAAATGCAGTCAAGTATAATTCAAGTTTGTTGACTTGTCCAGTATTTGGCCATATTATCAGCTATATTGGATTTTTCTTTCATGGGAACATGTCATGTCAAAATATACAACATTTATACAAAAATTCATACTTTATACGGACCCCCTGGCCTTACGTCAAGGACCACTAGGGGTCCACGGACCCCTGGTTGAGAAACACTGGTTTAGAGAATATGCATTAAGTGCCAGAGGTCATGAGTTTGAATCACCCTCAAGTTGTTCCAAACCTATATGGGTTTCTTTATTCTGCTGAACATAAAAGTAGATTATATGGAAGAATGTGGGTAACCAAACAGTTGCTTGTACCCACTGACTTCCATTGTATGGAAAAAAAATACTATGGAAGTCAAAGGGAACCACAAACTGTTTAGTTACTATAACATTTTGTGTGTGTGTGTGTGTGTGTGATTGTGTATAGCAGAAGAAAGAAATTCTTACAGGTTTGGAACAACATTTTTGGGTGAACTATCCCTTTAATGCCACAAACGATTTGTCTTATGAATCTAAAGTGAAAGTGAAGTGACGTGTGGCCAAGTATGGTGACCCATACTCGGAATTTGTGCTCTGCATTTAACCCATCCAAGTGCACACACACACACAGTAGTGAACACACACACACACACACACCGTGAACACACACACGGAGCAGTGGGCAGCCATGTGCTGCGGCGCCTGGGGAGTAATTGGGGGTTCGGTGCCTTGCTCAAAGGCCTCACCTCAGTCGTGGTATTGAAGGTGGAAGAGAGTGCTTTATTTATTTTTTAGAAAATAATAGTTTTATTCAGCAAGGAAACATTAAATTGGAAAGAAATGACAGTAAAGACATTTATAATGCTACAAAAGATGTATTTCAAATAAATGCTGTTATTTTAAAATTACTCTTCATCAAGGAATTCTAGAAAAAGGTATCACGGTTTCCACAAAAATATTAAGCAGCACAACTGTTTTCAACATTGATAGTAAGAAATGTTTCTCGAGCAGCAAATCAGCATAGTAGAATGATTTCTGAAGGATCATGTGACACTGAAGACTGGAGTAATGGCTGCTGTAGCTCAGCTTTGAAATCAGAGGAATAAATTACATTTAAAAAAATATTAAAATAGAAAAGAGTTATTTTAAATTGTAATAAGATTTCACAATATTACTGTTTTTACTGTATTTTTAATCCAAAAAATGCAGGGTTAGTAAGCATGAGATTTGTCTGAGAAATCTTTCCAGCCTCAAACTTTTGAACAGTAGTGTATGTTTTTGATAAGTTTAGATGTCTAGTTGGGAGCTGTCACAGTCGCTCACTCATGACTAGAGATGTACGCAGATTTTCCCCCAGGTGTTCAGTCTGAGAGTTTGGAGGTGCTATGAGTCGGTGTGAAATAGCACACGTCCTCGGAGTCAGGTGAGATGTAACTACAGCAGAAGTCTGCCTGCACCTCCTCATTTACAGCTGCGAGGTCAGGGGAGGAGGAGCTGCACTCCCTCGGGCACACATCGGCTTCCAGAAAAAACATTTCTGCTCACTCCATCACTTTCATGCTGCCTTAAAGTATGCTTTTCAATCTTGTTCTTTCTTCCTCTCTCTCTCTCTTTTGTCGCCATTGCTCCCTCAGTAACTGGTAAAAATAGTGCTTCATAAATCATGCATTCTTTTCCAGAGCAAAGAGAGAGGGGGCACACTTTAAAAGGAGAAATGAGAGAGGGAAAGAGC